CCGAAGTTTGCTAATATTCGGATTCGGTGCGAATCGAATTTTTCCTAATATTCGAAACGAATTCCACTTCGCCAAGTTCGATTCGCTCATCTCTAGTAGCCACCATTGGTCATTTGTTGCCCATGTTTTGTTTTGATTTCCCATTAACCAGTGGCTGTCACAACTGCCAGTTTCTTGCTCTATTATAGATCAGCTTAGACAAAGCTAGATATGTCACAGCTATGACTGATACAAAGAAGGATATGTCTCTGTTGGGATACTCAAGTTTAAAAAGCCAAGCAAATGAACCTGCTGGCATCCGCCCAAAGTGAAAAAAATCATTTTTGGCGGACTCACTCTTTGAAACAAGGTATATTGTATAACGTATAAATAAAAACTTGCACAGCTTCCAAGAGCAGGTACACTATTTACAAAAGGGTTTAGTCACAGCGATCTCCAATCTTTGTAATGGAATTACTCAGGTGTCAGGTGTTTACAGTGAATGCTGCCAAATTAAACACAGCACCATTGTTAAGTAAGACTTCTGATTAATCAAAGCCTGTTCGGCTGTCTTGACCAAGAATTACATTTCTGCTTTCTTCATCACAAATGTGATCACATTCCATGTGGTCAAACTGCAGGTGCAGTCAAGTGAGGACCAACAGGCAACACTAAACATCTTCAGCAGTTCTCTCCAGGTGGTTTACCAAGGCAAGGACAGCAGGCCTTATATATATCAATGTGTTTGCAATAAGAACTGCTGCAGGCAGATTGGGCTGACCCTAGAAATGTATCAGATCTTAGCTTTCACCGTCCTATTGAAAATAGGTAATAAAAACAATACTGGCTACCCTGTTCCTCTAGGAATGATCATTTTAGCTTTTTTTTTCCATTTGCATGATGTGGAGGTGCAGCTTAGCTGGTGCTGTAGCTGGTGGGGGAAAACCCTTATATACCTCGACAATGGATCAAACAGTGACGATCGTCAGGGGACATCACTGCAATATTCATTTCATCCACATTGTTGGCACTCAAAGCACTTTTGCAGTCCGCAAGTAAAAAAACACTAGAAAAAGTTTATTTACAGCGATTTTGTGACAAAGGGCTTGCAGGACCATGGGGGGAAAAGGGGAGAGGATATTTAAAGCAGAACTCTGGCCAAAAACCTCTTTACACGTCCTTGTTGCTTATTTCCTACCTTTCATGAATATGTCATCCATCTTCTGGTTCACTCAGTAGTTGCTCTGAAATAGCCTATTCATTTTCAAATCAAACCATTCATTTTCTTTGGTTTCCTGTTTGTAAGACCAGTGGCTGCTATGCCTCCTATTCCCCCAGCCACTGGTCTTGGCACATCCCTTCTGTAGTTCTTTCTCCTGGAAGCAGTGATGTAATTCATCCCCACTTGCAGTGGTGGGTGGACCGAGGCTCTCAGACACATTCAACTTGTACAGGCCTAGTGTACCCGCCCACATTCACTACAATTCCTTGCGGTTGATAGGAACTGTAGTTTCTTTTTACTGCAGAGAGAGTGGAGAGGATATGATGTAATTCCTGCTGTTACACCTCCTCCTTGGCAGAGCAAATGCTGTTATCTTTTGAATTACAGAGATGAGGTCATGAAGATTCAATTAGACTTTTCTCCTACATAGTAAAAATTTTCTAAATTTTATTGATGGTTTAGTGTTTTGTGTAGTGGGGGTGTACTAATGGGTGATTTATTTTGCCTATCCCGGAGTTCCTCCTTAAATATCAGTTTCCTGTTAGTTTAAAGTATATGGGAACCCTTACCTTACCCTTACACAACCCATTCAGTTTAAAATAGGTAATGTCACTTTGATGAAAATGTGTTAGAGGCGGGACTTTCGGTTGTCACTTGCGATCATGTCAGTTCTGGTGTTTAGAGTGCATGCCGGCTGCGGGCTTCAGCAGAGCGGCAGAGCTCATGTTTACAGGCTGGTTGTAATAATGCCGATCTGTGGCACTTTTAAATGTGAGCATTTTTATACGGTTTTATCGCTCACAATAGATAAATATACAGCACTATGTTAGTGATTTTTATCCCATGGGTTTCTGTGTGAACTGGCAGAATGGAGTGACTGACAGGAGGACACTGACTGTGACTGGGCAGCAGTGGATCCTGAATAAATTAACTAAGCGCATATTGACCTTCCTTCTTAGCAAAGAAGTCTAGGTGGTCTGGTGAGTGATTTAAGCATCATATTCCACCGGGTGTGGTTTACATGTTCATTGCGGTGGAGGAAACACTGAAGAATAAGAAGATCTATGGAAAAACTGAAAGACTGTTAATGTTGCACTCTTTACATAGACTGATTTCATATTTACACATTTATTTATTTATTGTTTGTCTATGTATTTTGTTGATATTGGCAGATGATGGAATTGGTTTTTCATGTTTGGTTTTGATATCCTAGATTGTAAGCTCCAAGGAGCAGGGCCCTCCTTTCCCTCTTGTATTGAACTGTATTGTTGCTGTATTGTCTCAAGTTATATTGTAAAGCGCTGAGCAAACTGTTGGCTATAAATCCTGTATAATAATAATAATATTCTGGTAATAGTGGGAGTTTTAGTATTGGTTTCTTTAGTTACTCATAGCGTGCCCTATTGTTTTTGATTCACATTAAGTGTATATTATCACACTGGGCAGGCAGCTTACTAGCCATTACACTGTGGTGCAGAGTTTTCTTTTTAAATTTTGGTCACTCCATTGAATGTACCATATGAAAAATATGTGCAAATTGCAGGACTGGCTGATCTTAATTACAGATTCTCTAGCAGGTAAAACAGTAAACATACAGTTGTGTTCAAAATAATAGCAGTCAGACATCACTAACCTGATCAATCACTGTTTTTAGTAGAAATGATATTTCTACATGGCAAATAATTTACTAGCAGGTGTAGTAGAGTAGTAGAATTCCAACAGACCCAACAGTCATGACATGCATGCTGCTGATTCTGTGGAATTGAATCACTAATTGAAAGGGGCATGTTCAAAGTAATAGCAGTGTGGAGTTCTATTAGTGAGGTCATTCATTCTTTGAAAAACAGGTGGCAATTATTGCCCTTATTTAAGGAAGGAAGGCAGCAAATGTTGTACATGCTGGTTACAGTGCATTTCTCTCTGAAATTCTGAGGAAAATGGGTCGTTCCAGACATTGTTCAGAAGAACAGCGTACCTTGATTAAAAAGTTGATTGGAGAGGGGAAAACATATAAAGAAGTGCAGAAAATGATAGGCTGCTCAGCTAAAATGATCGCAAATGCTTTAAAATGGCAACCAAAACCTGAAAGACGTGGAAGAAAGCGAAAAACTACCATTCAAATGGATAGAAGAATAGCCAAAATGGCGCGGACTCAGCCAACAATCAGCTCCAGGAAAATCAAAGAAGGTGTAATGTTACATGTGAGTACTGTTACAATTAGAAGACGCCTATGTGAAGCCAAGCTATCTGCAAGAAGCCCCCGCAAAGTCACACTGTTGAAAAAAAGACATCTGCTGAAGAGGTTACAATTTGTCAAAGAGCACATTGACTGGCCTAAAGAGAAATGGCGCAACATTTTGTGGACTGATGAAAGTAAGATTGTTCTTTTTGGGTCTAGTGGCCAGAGACAGTTTGTCAGACGACCCCCAAACACTGAATTCAAGCCACAGTACACTGTGAAGACAGTGAAGCATGGTTGTGCAAGCATCATGATATGGGGATGTTTCTCATACTACGGTGTTGGACCTATTTATCGCATACCAGGGATCATGGATCAGTTTGAATACATCAGAATACTTGAAGAAGTCATGCTGCCTTATGCTGAAGAGGAAATGCCCCTGAAATGGGTGTTCCAACAAGACAACGACCCCAAACACACCAGTAAACGTGCAACATCTTGGTTCCAGACCAACAAGATTGACGTTATGGAGTGGCCAGCCCAATCCCTGGATCTTAATCCAATAGAAAACTTGTGGGGTGACATCAAAAATGCAGTTTCTGAGGCAAAACCAAGAAATAGAGAAGAACTGTGGAATGTAGTCCAATCATCCTGGGCTGGAATACCTGATCACAGGTGCCAGAAGTTGGTTGACTCCATGCAACACAGATGTACAGCAGTTCTCAGAAACAGTGCTTATACAACTAAATATTCATTAAGTGATTCAAAGGAAAGCAAAATCTTCAAACATTTTTCAGTTTATATAGTGAATGTTTGAGTTTGTAAAGAAGAATACAAACACTGCTATTTTTTTGAACAGTCTAATATTCACTTTTCTTCAATTTTTTTTAGAGGAACAACACAAATTTGATATATTTTTCTTCATGTTTTGATTTGGAATAGAATGTGTAGTGTTCCCAATGCATTTGTGTGTATGGAAATAAAAGTTATTAGAAGTATTTTTGAGCTTTATTCACTTTTTTCAAACACACTGCTATTATTTTGAACACAACTGTATATGCATTTTGATTTTGTATGTAGCTTTAAGTAGCTGAGATGTCCAGAGGGAGCAGCTTATTAATACCAAAAAGTACAAAGTAAACATTTATTAGTGCCAATTTTTTCTATGTGGCCTCATAAATGTGGATCGGGAAATAATAATATGTACACAGTTTTACACATATTGTACAATATATATTAAAAAGAGTACATTTAGCAGCACACAAAATTATATAAATTATACTCAGTGGTACATTCTGGTCTCCACTCCATGACTTAGTTGTGATTGCACAGCATTCATTTATCCTTAGGACAGTTTGTATTTTTTCATATCTCAGCAATCATGAAGATTTAATCTCATTCTGTACATCCGATGAGATCCCCTATTGTATCTTTATAGAACTGCACCTTCTTTCTGTTTAAAAATTAGTGCCACTGTTTCCATGGGTGCCAACAAATTTTGTGGACCATTTGGTTTTTTTTTATATCAGTCTTAAAACCCAGGGCAAGGAACTGATCATATCCACGAAGGAGGAATAAAGGCACGTCGGTCATATTCAGCTTACCAATACTTCTTCTTACTTATATATGTCCATGGTGTGTAGACATTGGCATCTCTTGGCTTAAAAAATCCCTCATGATCCTGTTGACCTCTTCAGGGCAATCTTGCTGTAGCCAGTGGCTGGCATGTTGTATAATCTCAGCCTGAAAAGGAGCATGGACATACTGCCTCATCTCTGGGACCATTGCTGCTTCTAGAAATACGTCAAGCTCACCCCAGAGCAGCAATGTAGGGACAAGTACGTCCTGGGCTTTCACTGGAAAGAACCTGTAGGGATAGGTTGCATTGTAACACAAGCTGTACGTTACACAGACAATTCTAAAACCCCTAGATCAGCCTTTCTCAACAAGGAGGAACCCATGAAATATTGTTCCAGTCTCAGAGAACCCCTGCTAATACACTCACCAGCCACTTTCTTAGGTACATCTTGCTGGTGCCAAGAAAATATCCCCCACACCATTACACCACCACCACCACCAGCCTGAAACACTGATACAAGGCAGGATGGATCCATGCTTTCATGTTGTTTATGCCAAATTCTGACCCTACCATCTGAATGTCGCAGCAACCAGTCTGCCCATTGTCCTCTGACATCAACAAGGCATTTTCGTCCACACAACTGCAGCTCGCAGGATATTTTCTCTTTTTCGGACCATTCTCTGTAAACCCTAGAGATGGTTGTGTGTGAAAATCCCAATAGATCAGCATTTTTTTTAAATACTCAGATCATCCCACTTGGAATCAACAAACATGCCATGTTCAAAGTCACTTTATTTTCCTTTTTTTCCCCCATTCTGATGCTCAGTTTGAACTTAAGCAAGTCGTCTTCACCACGTCTACATGCCTAAATACATTGAGTTGCTGCCATGTGATTGTTACCAAGAATTGAACAAGTGTACCTAATAAAAGTGGCCGGTGAGTGTAATTACTAAAGCTACAGCTTAGGGTACATTTAAGCAATGATCACTGGGAATAACGTTCCCAACATTTGTGGTCAATGGAAGAATCCCCCCATACAGATGCAGTGCCTTGAAAAAGTATTCATACCCCTTAAAATTTTCCACATTTTGTCATGTTACAACCAAAAACGTAAATGTATTTTATTTGGATTTTATGTGATAGACCAACATAAACTGGCACATAATTGTGAAGTGGAAGGAAAATGATAAATGGTTTTCAAAATTGTTTACCAATAAATCTGTGAAAAGTGTGGCATTCATTTGTATTCATCTCCCTTTACTCTGATACCCCTAACTAAAATCTAGTGGAACCAATTGCCTTCAGAAGTCACCTAATTAGTAAATAGAGTCCACTTGTGTGTAATTTAATCTCAGTATAAATACAGCTGTTCTGTGAAGCCCTCAGAGGTTTGTTTGAGAACATTAGTGAACAAACAGCATCATGAAGGCCAAGAAACACACCAGACGGGTCAATGATAAAGTTTTAGAGAATTTAAAGCAGGGTTAGGATATAAAAAATATCCTAAGCTTTGAATATCTCATGGAGTACTGTTCAATCCATCATCTGAAAATGGAGAGTATGGCACAACTGCAAACCTACCGTCCACCTAAACTGACAGGCCGGGCAAGGAGAGCATTAATCAGAGAAGAGGCCTATGGTGACTCTGGAGGAGCTGCAGAGATTCACAGCTCAGGTGGGAGAATTTGTCCACAGGAAAACTATTAGTTGTGCACTCCACAAATCTGGCCTTTATGGAAGAATGGCAAGAAGAAAGCCATTGTTGAAAGAAAGCCATAAGAAGTCCCGTTTGCAGTTTGCGAAAAGCCATGTGGGGGACACCGCAAACATGTGGAAGAAGCAAAACGCTATGTGTGGCAGAAAACTAACACTGCACATCACCTTGAACACACCATCCCCACCGTGAAACATGGTGGTGGCAGCATCATGTTGTGGGGATGCTTTTCTTCAGCAGAGACAAGGAAGTTGGTCAGAGTTCATAGGAAGATCGATGGAGCCAAATACAGGGCAATCTTAAAAGAAAACCTGTTAGAGTCTGCAAAAGACTTGAGATTGGGGCAGAGGTTCACCTTCCAGCAGGACAACGACCCAAAACATACAGCCAGAGCTACAATGGAATGGTTTAGATCAAAGCATATTCTTGTGTTAGAATGGCCCAGTCACAGTCCAGACCTAAATCCAATTGAGAATCTGTGACAAGACTTGAAAATTGCTGTTCACAGATGCTCTCCATCCAATCTGACAGAGCTTGAGCTATTTTGCAAAGAAGAATGGACAAAAATTTCACTTAGATGTGCAAAGCTGGCAGAGACATCCCCAAAAAGACTTGCAGCTCTAATTGCAGCAAAAGGTGGATCTACAAAGTATTGATTCGGGGGGGGGGGGGCTGAATAATACAAATGCACACCACACGTTTCACATGTTTAGTTGTAAAAAATGTTGAAATTCATTGATCATTTTCCTTCCACTTCTCAATTATATGCAACTTTGTTTTGGTCTATCACATAAAATCCCAATAAAATACATTTATGTTTTTGGTTGTAACATGACAAAATGTGGAAAATTTTGAGGGGTATGAATACTTTTTCAAGGCACTATAGCTAACAAGGCCATTGGTGTCAGTGGTTACTTTTTCAAGAGGAAAAAAATTGCACATTGCTGAAGGAACCCCTAGTAACCTCTGGAGGAATTCTAAGGTTTCATAGAACCCTAGTTGAGAAAGACTGCCCTGAATAAACAGAGAAGTCTTAAAAAGAAAAACTAAATGAAAACATTTGGTTTTAATACAGTTATCCATTATACTGTATATCCCCCAACCCCAGCACCTACTCAAAGAGTTACATTTACCTGGCTCAGCTCACGTTAACATTTTTGATGAGCAGCTCTCCAGGAGCCAGAACTTCAAAAGTCTTCCCCCCAGCCCGGACCCCAGCCCCCATTGACTTCTCCATCATGTCCAACAACGCCACCATCAAACCCGCCCCGCAGGCCAGAGTACTTGGTGTCATTCTGGACTCCAAACTATCCTTCCAGCCCCAAGTCCAATCTTTAACAAACTCATGCAGACTCCAACTCTGCAACATCGCCAAAATACGCACGTTCCTAACCCCAGAAACCACTAAACAGCTCATCCACTCCCTCATCATATCACGACTCGATTACTGCAACTCCCTCCTTACTGACCTGCCTCGCCGCTGGCTATCCCCGCTTCAGTCCATCCTGAATACGGCTGCCAGACTCATTCACCTTTCCAACAGCTCCATCTCCGCCACCCCCCTCTGCCAATCCCTCCACTGGCTTCCGATTGCGCAACGGATCAAATTCAAAATCCTAACACTGACGTACAAAGCCGTCCACCACACTGCCCTGAACTACATCACCGACCTAATATCCAAGTACCACACAATCCGCTCCTCACAAGACCTCCTTCTCTCTAGTTCCCTGGTCTCCTCCTCCCATGCCCGCCTCCAGGACTTCTCCAGGGTGTCACCCATCCTCTGGAACTCCCTGTCCCAAGCCATCAGATTATCACCTACTCTCCTCTCCTTTAGGCGCACCCTGAAAACCCACCTCTTCAGGGAAGCCTACCCCACCCCCTACTAACTTGCCGACCTCCTCCACTCTTCCTACCACTCCATCCCTCACAGCATTCTCCTCCTGTGCCCCCATCCCCTCCCTCCTAGATTGTAAGCTCGAAAAAGCAGGGTCCTCGATCCCCTCATGTTTTGCATTGTATTGTTATTGTTCTGTCACATGTTCTGTCCCCCTTTGTAATGTACAGCGCTGAGCGAACTATTGGCGCTTTATAAATACTGTATAATAATAATAATAAAAGTCTTTTCCATGCATAAATTCTGCAATGTCAATTTTTTCTAGTCTGTTTTTCATCCTAAAGGTGGATTTCCTTTTTATAGGAATAAAGAGAGAGTGCTGTGTGCATGTGCAGAAGTGCAGATCTTGGAGGCACAGGCAAGTGAAGGACGCATGGTAAAAGCTGGTGTTACTGCTAGATAGAGTACTTAAGGCTCAGCCTTGCCTAGGTGCAGTGGTGAGTAGTCTTCAGCAGTACCTTCAGCAGACCTATGACCAGTAAACTGACCTGCTACAGTGTCGTCACTTTCCAGCTACTCGCTTGTGACCTGTATTTGTAGTCTTCATTTCTGCCTCAAATGCCCACCTTGGTCGATTTCTCTGACTACCTCTGCTTTTGTCTGCCGACTTTGCACTTTGTTGTGTGCCTGTTGTTGACTCAGGCTTGCCACGTTGCCCTGCACCTGCTGGTGGCTCAACAACTCCTTCTTTTGTGGCCTATTGTCCACCAGTTTTAGAACTACTGTACTGTATTTTTTTTTCTCATCTACGCCAACAGACCCACTGGACTCTGTAACATGGCTCCATTACCCCTCTGCCACTTGTCATATCACTCCAGGGTACTTGGACTAGGTGTGTAAGAGGCCATATATGTAATATTTTTTATATGTTTATCATGCTATAATTTTTTCACTCACCCAAAAAGATTCCTGTAGTAGTTAAGAGGGGGTGTCATGCCTCCTTTCTGAGACAAGTAATATATAAACGCCTCAGTCTCTTCACTGGTGAGTCTCCGCTGCTTATTCTGGATTCCCATTGAGTCATCCACCAGAGGTCTCCTAATGTACTGTAGAAGAAGATATATATCACACTGTTGTAGCTGTTATTTCACTGAGAATAATCAAAGACCTACAGGGGTGTGGAAATGTTTAAAAAAAACTACTTGTCCTGGGACTAATTCGGTGTTTCAATCTACTTGTCCTGATAAAAAAAACATACATTTAACCAAAACTGTATTTAAATCTGCTTTAAGTAATGTATGGGGCTTGTAAAAACAAAAAGGGGCTTTATAGCGACTGTTTAATGTTTAATATTTTTAACATTGCACTGTTTATCTCCTCCGCCCCTCCCTGCCTGTCTCCAGCCCCGCCCCCGGGGAGCTCAAGGAGAGGAGAGACCTTGCAGTGCAATGAGCTCCAATTAAGCACTTGTCAGGAAAGGGGCGTGTCCAAATTATCCTTTATCCATTTCACTGCCAGAGCTTTTTTTGCATTATTTGCACACGTTTAAAAAAATCGTTTTAGGCCTGAAGATGACACAAACCCCAAAAAACATGATATATTTTCTGAAATCAGAGATCTTATTGAATAAAATAGCGGTAGTTACAATTTTTTATGTCACATGATATTATCACAAACATATAGGAAACACAAAATGTCAGTAACAAAATACACTTAAATTAATTTTAGTGCACAAACAGCAATACATTTTCCAATTTTTTTGTAAAATATAAAAGACGAGGTTGCAGCGAGTAAATAGATATCCAACATATCAAACCTTAAATTTACCTGCGCTTGTGAAATGGCGACAAACTTTAGCAAGCCTACATTTTCTATAGGCGACACTTTTAAAGCCCCTTTTCGGTCATCAGTATAGTGTTACAGAGGAGGTCTGGTGCTAGAATTATTGCTCTCATTCTGGAGTGCACTACGATATGTAACACGTGTATCGCCGTTTTCATGTGTAGTGTAGGCGCCCGATCATGTGCTTTTCGTTTGTGCGTGCATACATATGTGGGGGTGGGGGCCTTGCAAAATTTGGAGGTGTTATATGCTTGGGTGTAACTTCCATTTAAAAAAAAAAAAAACATTTTCTTGATGATGATGATTTTTGGTGACAGGTTCTCTTTTTTGATACATCCAGGGTCTAAAAGACCCTGCATGTCTCCCCTGTACTACAATGAATGTAATGCGGTGCACATTGCATTGCATTACATTCTTTCCCAGCCTCATTGATCAGGAATCTGCCGAATGGGGATCTGGAAGTGACGTCACATCACCTCAAGGTCAGGAGAAGAAGGGGAGGGGAGCGGATGTGCCTGCTCTTCTCAATCCCCTATACCAAATCCTGCGGCACCCACCGAACCAGTCCTGGGCCTGCAGATGGGCAAGCGGAGCCTGGGACATATAGCGGGGGAGAGGCTGACACTGTGGGCTTCTCCCTCCCCTCTAGCCGATGGCGAGTTGGGCCCGCAGATGGGCAAACGGAGCCCAGGAAACCTCACACCGGGGGCACGGAGAGGCTGGCACTGAGTGAAAGCAATCGGCAGCAGCACTGACAGAGGAGCCCTACTGCTTGCCTGCATCAGGGCTAAAGGCCAAAAAAAACTACCTGCCTGGCACCCAGAACTATCTGTCCCGGGCGTTGGGCGATAGGAATTGCACATCCCTGACCTACATTGGTTATAAAGGCAAAAGGTTTTTCACCTTAATGCATTCTCTGCATTAAGGTAAAAAAAAAATGCAGCTCTTCTCCCCTCCCTCTCTTCTCACAGGAGACTCAGCAGCAGTGGGAGCCATTGACTCCTGCTGCTGTCAGTCAAATGCTGTGAGGAGGGTGCAGGAGGCGGGGCCTAGCTGTGCTGTGTTTGTCTTTGTCAGCATACAGCCCAGCTAGAGAGTGAGCCTAGCTTGGGAGCAAGACCGCAAGTGTGCCAACATAGCAAGCAGCTTCCTATGTTGGCACACACAGAAGAGTAGGAGCTTAGAGAGTTAGAAGGGGTCCCCAGAAGAGGAGGCTCAGGGCCGCTCTGTGCAAAACCATTGCACAGAGCAGGTAAGTATAACATGTTTATTATATTAAGAGAACAAAAAAAAAAAAAAAAAGCTTTACAACCACTTTAAGTCCACTTAGCAAATAATATCAAGACTATAAATAAACATAAGAAAATAAAAACTACCTGTGTCCTATACATTTAGAAGGCAGCTAGACCCAGGCCCCTTTATGGGGGTTCCAGGTCAAAGCTGGAGGCTTGTATAGCTCACCACCGGAGGATCCACTGGTGAAACTGATTCCTTTTCCCAAGATTAGTGCACACACAGCCAAGCACACAGCATTTTCTCCATTCCATTGGCTCAAATACAACAGTCTGGGGTGTCTTAATTGCAAATTGAACTTGGATGAGGTGAAGGGAGCATGGGATACCCCAGAATTCACTGAACTGACTTCTTGCAGGACTCTTCTCTTCACATTGATCTGCACAACAAGTCCCACACAACTCTATGTGGCTAAGAAGTGCCTATGACTTATTTTAAAAGGACTGAGAACTGTGCACAGTCCCCAAGGCACAGCACTTAAGTCAATTACTTACAGTGCCACAGGATCATCAGTTTCCTCATACCAATATCCAAAAGGACACTCTTCAATGAGGGAGGCAGACTCCCAATACCTCAGGAAAGCTGGACCCTCTACCCCCAACTTCCTTCGAATACTTTTCAGTGAGATCCCCAGACCCAAAAAACTTCCAGATCAGACTTTGCGAATAGGCCTCCAAGTTAAAGCTGCAGCTTGAACCTCAATGACTCCTAATCAGTGCTTCCAGCAGCCTGCCCTTGGGGGCAGAGCCCCTAGATAGGGGTCTCCTCTGGCAGGACTGGACCCAGGCTTCAACAACCCCCTGTTGAAGGCCTCAGACTATTTATGGGTTCTCCAGCCACCTACTGGTCACACCTCCCCAAGTATTGGCTGGATTCCCATAAATATTGAAGCTGCCTCCTCTACTCTTCCTCCCACTAGAATTCTAGTATCCTCTAAAATGCAGGGGGGAGCACTCAGATAAGCAGCAAATGAGACAATGAGCAGACTAGAGCAATCAACCCCTGCTCTAATGACTACAGAGGAGCTAAACTAAATTTGCCTAGCAATCTACACTAACTAGGAGAGTGCTACACTTGTTAGAGTAGATGCTGTCAGTCAGAGAAGCCCATACCTGCCACAAGTAATACAGAGGCTCCATGTGTCACTGAAAAGAGAATGAACATCAGTTTGGACCACAATATGGTTGACTTTACGGTTTAAAGCAAACCTGCACTGTGAGTTATATGTAAGCTGCCATTAACTACATTGCCATTCACATCCAGCCTTTTGTATCAAATGTTTACTATTTTCTCTGCCTCTATCCAAACTTAGATTGTTTTAAAAAAAAAAAAAAAAAAAATCACACTTTTTTTGACATTCCTAATAGGATCAAATTAAAAAGTATCACACTTGACACAACCTGCTTCTAAAACAACTTAACATTTTTCAATCCGCACCAAATGTATAAAATAACCTATTAATGTCCTCGCAAAACATTTTTCAAAGCTGCAATTGGAGCATTAAAATAATTACATTGTCAGGTGAATGGACTAAAAAACCTGTGAGCACCTTAAGGTCTAGAGATAAATCCGACAATAAAGAGAGAACCATATCTACTACAAACTATTAATCTGGGAAACGAGAGCCTTGTAGGAATAGAGGGATCATATTCAGCTGTGACAGCACATTTACACAGCCATCCAATGACTTCACAGCAATAATGCTTTATCTCTTCAATCTCATAATAGCAGATAGTCAAAATATACCTTTGCCCGGATCTATGGTACTCCACGTAGCTGTACTCACCTCAAAGTCAGCCAAAGACAGCAGGATTTCAGGTAGGACAGGTAACTGGAATAGGAAGACGTAGCGGGATAAGAATAGCTGAGATGGATGAGACAGAACATAATCTGAGGAAAGAAACACATATACTGAGCTTTAGTGCAACAGCAAAGAGCCAACATTGCTAAAGATATTGAGGGATGGGATGGTTTGGGATCCACCTTCCCCCGACAGAGTGTCCTCATACTGCTGTCCACGTATATCAGTGCAGCATTGCATGGTTACTGCGATACACTTACATAACAATGATAACACCATTTAACTGAATTTTATTAGGAAATCAAATTTAGATCAATGAATCTGATCACCATAATATAAACAATCATAATAATTTGTGGGAAAAAAACAAAACAACGCAGAAAACAAGTGAAATCTGTCATGTAGGTACTAATGCCATTCAGCTGTACTAGAATCAGAATGTTCACTCATTTTACATAATCTCTGTTATATTGTAGTTTACCAATCCATAAATGTGGTGGCTACATAATTTATTTTTATTTTTTTTAGCTTTTATGTCCTTTACACCTGGTGATCCTGCCAGTAAGTCTTGTTTTTCAGCTTCCTTTAACAGATCAAGCTGTCCAGCAAATGAAGGAAAAACTGATTTATTTATGTAAAACCAAAAAGTGTTAGTGTAAATTGGAGTTTAGTATTAATTTCCCTTCTCCAAAGGTTGGCAAAGTTGCTGTCCATAGGTGGCTCTGTTACTCCACCATAGAGTGGAGACAACAAAGAACCAGCAAACACAAATGCTGCTGCGCTTGGGGATGGACTGGATGCAGGCTACAACCACATAAGGAATGTCCTGGAACATGCACACCTTGCTGCCCTCAATAGACCGGGGAAATCCAATATACTGAATGAGGAAAGAACAAACAGAGGGTGCACAGGCCTAGTGCATTACCATAAAAAATGTTTAATAAAAAATAAAGTAGGTGTTGTACTCACAAACGACAATAAAGTCAAGGCACATCATAAAAGAACAGCTGGGTCAACACCGCGCTGAGTAACAGTCCGCAATAGGGAGTTCATGAAAGAACAGCTTAGTCAACACCGCAATAGGGGGTTTTAGACATCCAATAGGCTGACGCGTTTCGAGGACTTGCCTCTTCCTCAGAGATACTGGCTCTGAGGAAGAGGCAAGTCCTTGAAATGCATCAGCCTATTAGATGTCTACATTCCCTATTGCGGTATTGACTAAGCTGTTGTTTCATGACGTGCCTTGACTTTATTGTCGCTAGTGAGTACACCTACTTTATTTCTTATTAAAACCCTCAAACAAGAAATGTGTTACTGGTTAGATCATCAGGTAAAAATAAAAGAAAAAAGGCCTAAAAAAAAGAAAGCTAATGCAGCTACCACATTTATAGCGGAAGTAACCGCAAACCTAACAAACTCTAAACCTACTCTCATACACATTCTTAGTCTAATCTACAGTACATTCAGAAAGTTTTCATGTTGTCATTATGGGGTATTGTTTGTAGAATGTTGAGGAAAAAAATTAATTTAATCCATTTTGGGGTAAGGCTGTAAAATAACATGTGGCAAGTTAAGCGCTGTGAATACTTTCTGGATGCACTGTATCTAGCTTTGTAAACCCAAAATTGCTGTACTTACCTGTTCTGCATCCCCTCCGGTCCAATCTCTAGTCCACTGCTCTGTGTGCAAGAGAGAGCCAACAATGGCTGGGAAATGCCTGTGAAGTGACATCACCCATAGACTTACTATGGGGCTTCCGTTGTCAGCTGCCTCTTCTTCACACTGAAGCTGCTGCTGACAGTTCAGCCTGGGACCAGACTGGAGTGGCTGTAGAATAGGTCATTATAGAGATTTTTTCCTTACAGGGCTAGATAGATTAGGCTTAGAATGTGAAGAATCGGCTAACACGGTGGCGCTGTGGGTAAACAACGCAAAAAAAACTCCTTCCATGGTGGTGCTATAACAGTAAGACAAAACTGCTGATTATAAAAATCACTCATAACATACGTCCATCCATTTCTATAAATACGTAAAGTCCATCAAAATAATGTGAATATCACATTCAGTTCTTGAATCTTCCTAATACTTTATATCCCAAGCCAAAACCACCACATGTTTGTGAGACAAACGTCCCTTCAAACAATTATTCAAATTGAGACCCTTCTTTAATAAAATAAAAGTGTAAAAAAATAAGAAAGGTAAAACAAAGTGTAATAGAAATACATAGTTTTCTTAAAAATAAAACAAAAACTGAAATCACCTCTCCCCAAATTAATCCATAGATTCCAAAAAACGACGTTGGATGATCTGGATGACATCTGCATTTACTGTGCATGTATTAAATGCTCACATAAGTAAATGCAATGTCATTTAGCCTTTTAGCAAATGCAAACCTGGGGAAATGTTGCAAGGGGAACAGAGGGGGTGGGGAGGGTGTAGGGTGTTAGTTCACCTTTTCATTTTTTGTGAAAAGGTGAACACACTTTTATCCAGTTCCCCAGTTTCCAAAAAGTCTAAAAAAACCCTTCTTTCTAGAACCACAATCTCTCAAGAGAGGAAAAAATGACAACTGTCCTGTAGAAGGATAAAGCCACTTACGGTCATGGCAGCTCCCTCTGCAATATTTCCTATTAACCTCTACTATTGTACATGCCGGGTATGTGTTTTAAAGCCCAAATGTAGCCAACCTTCTGCTGAGTTCACAATACACGGAGCAATTTTGCAGTTAAAAGGGCAAATTTGCACTCGTCAATGGTCATCCTTTTTTCAAATATTTATCCATGCATTATGTAGTGATATATTGTATACACAAGAACTTCATACAAGGATCTGTTTTTAGTACATAAAAGGCACATGCTACAAGCTGCTCTTGACATTGTCACTCCCTATTATTATTATTTCAAGAGCTCCCTGAAATAACACCTCATCAGTGAATCCTATCATATCTCCCAGTCACCAGTCACTTAGTTCACTTTGTTATCCGCCCAATCCTCTTGACTCATTTATTAATTTCTTCCTATTCTTTCTTCTTGGTTATTTAATATTCCCATTTTATTGAGCCACGGACAAATTCTTTAGGATCCTTTAGGCATTGTACACAAGGGTTTAGGTTTGTATAAGAGCTTTGTGTACATCAGGCTTTTACTAAGCATTTATACAACTTTCAGCAAGATTTGTTGAATTCTGTAGGCTCCATGCACATTGGGCTTAAAAAAAAAACGCCATTCCCCCTGGGAGAAAACAACACTGATATAGATCATTTTTGTACACAATTTGGGCGAGTTTAGCGTGTTTTCTGTCAGAAAGCTCCAATCAAAAACACAAAGCAGAAAGATTTTTAATTTACTGCCTCTAAACGTTGAGCTTAAAATATGCCTCTTATCGCCCTAATGTGCATGGACTCATAGGATAACACTGAGCTTCTTCTACAGGCAAAACACAAAACTCCTGTAGAAGCAGCAATTTTTAAGCCAGTGTGCATGAAGCCTTAGGGTCCAGGCACACTAGGAGCAGAAAAAAAATGCCAGAACCTCTGGCAGAAAAAGCGGTTTAAAAAATGCTCATAGAGGCTTGTATTGCACAAGAGTTCAGAAGAGTTTAGGAGATTTTATGGGCATTTGCTTTTAGAAGTATTTTCTTCCCAAGCATACCCCTCATTTTTCAATGTACACCTGAAAACGCCGAACACTCCTAAATGACGCGTTACGTGTGTTTAGTGTTTTTTCTGCCTGAAAACTCTTCTCAAAAATGCACTTGTGATTTTTTTTTCTGCCTTTAAACTCTGCTGTAGAAATATGCCTCTAAAGGCCCTAATGTGCAGGAAACCTAAAATTAGTAGTAAGTAGGATAGCAATGAACAGCTTCTACAGGCAAAAGAAAAAAAAAACTAAAATTAGTAGTAAGTAGGATAGCAATGAACAGCTTCTACAGGCAGAAGAAAAATAATAAAACAAAACAGTAGACGTAGAGTTTATGGACCCTAAAAGTAGTGTTAGGCTCCAGTTTGGGGAGGTTATACTAATATTAACCGCTTCCCAACCGCCCTATGGCAGAACTACTATATATATATACAGTATATATATATATATATATATATATAAATAAAAGTTTGCATTTCTGGGTAGGGGGCACGCGCTTCGCCCTACCCGAGCCGCCATTGGCAGCTACAGCTGTCGATCACTGGGTCCTTGCCAGAGATTCCCGGCGATCACCGAAGAACAGTGAAAGGGGAGAGGTCTGTGCGTAAACAACACAGATCTCTCCCCTGTCAACATGAACAGGCTGTTTTGTATTGCTCAAAACCCCTTCCTGCCCAGTGTCATTAATAGAGTGTCAGTGCTTTTTATTAGCAATGATCACAGTATTAGTGTCACTGGGGATGTCAGTGGCAGTTAGTCAGTTCCCCCCCCCCCCAGTGTTAGAATGCCTGCCATAGTCCCGCTATAAGTCACTGATCGCTGCAATTAGTATGAAAAACAACCCTCCAGTATATACAGTATCTCACAGAGGTGAGTCCACCCCTCACATTTTTGTAAATATTTGATTCTATCTTTTCATGTGACAACATTGAAGAAATGACACTTTGCTACAATGTGACGTAGTGAGTGTACAGCTTGTATAACATGTAAATTTGCTGTCCCCTCAAAATAACTCAACACACAGCCATTAATGTCTAAACCGCTGGCAACAAAAGTGAGTACACCCCTAAGTGACAATGTCCAAACTGGGCCCAAAGTGTCAATATCTTGTGTGGTCACCATTTATTTTCCAGCACTGCCTTAACCCTCTTGGGCATGGAGCTCTCCAGAGCTTCACAGATTATCACTGGACTCTTCCACTCCTCCATGATGATATCACGGAGCTGGTGGATGTTAGAGACCTTGCGTTCCTCCGCCTTCCATTTGAGGATGCCCCACAGATGCTCAATAGGGGTTAGGTCTGGAGACATGCTTGGCCAGTCCATCACCTTTACCCTCAGCTTCTTTATCAAGGCAGTAGTTGTCTTGGAGGTGTGTTTGGGGTCGTTATCATGTTGGAACACTGCCCTGTGGCCCAGTCTCCAAAGGGAGGGGTTCATGCTTCAGTATGT